GTTATTGAGTTTTTGGGCTTTAGTTTATTTTTCAAAAAACCCCTTCTAAATTTCTCAAAGTAAGTTAGGAATCATGATGGAGTCAAAGTAAAACATTAATTTTTTGCATATAATTAAGGGATATTTGCAAAAATGCAATTTTTTATGTCCACATTTGCAAAAATGGGCAATTACAAAAATTTCATTTTTTGTGTGCACATTTGTAAGAATGCCATTTAGGGATATCTATTTACAAAAATACCACTAATTATAAATTTATAAAGCATATATCTTAAAATTCTAAACACTAAAAAATGTTTTGACACCTAAAACCCCCTAAACACTCAAAACAAAACCCTAATAGAACATAATTAACCCAAACATAAATAATATAAAAAAAAAATAATTTTGAAAAAGTGGCATTTTTGTAAAGATTTCAGAAGTGTGGCATTTTTGTAAAGTGACACTTGAAAAGTGGCATTTTTTGAAATTTCTCTTGCAAAAATGCCACTTTTGGTGTCCATTTGCAAAAATGCCACTAGTTATGATTTTTTAGAGCCTAAATATTAATATTCTAAATCCTAAAAAATCTTTTGACCCCTAAAACCCCTTAAACCCTCAAAACTAAACCCTAATACAATATACTTAACCCAAACATAAATGATATAATAAATAAATAATTTTGAAAAAGTGGCATTTTTGTAAAAATGTGGCATTTTTGTAAAGTGGCACTTGAAAAATGGCATTTTTTGAAATTTCTCTATAATTTAACATTCATTTCAAAAATATATATATATATATTTTTTTTGGTTTTGAAAATGCATCTTGAAAGAGATATTAACTTCTATTTTATCAATAATCAGATAGTGCTCTAAGGATGTTTAATTTTGTTAGACCATAAATCTGTCTAATATATAAGATATTAATACCGTACAAATTCATTTGAAGTGTAGAAGAGAACAAAATTTTTCTTTTAAAAAGAAAAAAAGGTTCTTTAACCGTTTCTAGCTCCTTACACTTGAAAAAAAAAATCTGTTAAAAATATGCAAAATATATATTCGTTCATCCAATATTCTCGCAGGGTATGAAACAGGTAACAAAGCGGTTGGACGATGCTCGATATGGGTGCATAGTAAATGTCAAGCCGGTGATTCAGCCACCAAGCCTTGCATTGTATCACATCACCTTTTTCTTTCTCATGCCGCGGCAGTACAAGAGTTCCGAAATTATATATTCGTATTATCTAATTGTAATGATATGTATGTCTGTATCCACAACTCCGAAAGCACTACGTACGTTGCTTCTTCATGCTTTTTTCTTATGAAACGTCTCTATGGTCATTTTTTTGTTATTTGTACCATTTAAAAACTTGATGATTTTATTGAAATAACTCACTTTTAAGCAAACTTGAAAATGGTTAGTGAAAGAAAAAAAGACGACGTGTGTTGAGAACTTGGGAGAGAGAGGACAGTAGAAAAAAATATCCCTAGAAAAATACTAACATGTGTTTGAGAAAAATAAACCTCCTATATTTTTTGTTTCTTGTATTTAATTTTTCGTTGACGCACTTAATGCTTCCCGTTTGACGTAATTATCTACGTATCCCTCAATTGATTAGCTGATATGAGCACCAGGTACGTAGCCAACACGATCGTTGTTGATTAACATGTTAGTTAAATAATTAGTGCTAGCAAAACTTTCATAATTAACATGAAAATTTGGATTAAGAAAAATTATGTCTCTAAAGTCGTAGATTTTGTAAGATTTTCTTTTGATGATAAAAAAATAATAGATGAACATGCGAGATTTGACCTAATTTGTTACGTTGTATAATCTTCGGTTTAAAAGACCATATACATTCAGTGCACCAG